AGTTCAAATCAAAAATATAAAATTTTTTAATTATCCGAAAAATAGTACAATACCGCTTACAGAATGTGCAAAATTTCCGTGAATGTCGCAGAATTCCGGGAATTCCGCGAAATTCATGTAAATCACGCAAATTACGCAGGGCCATAACTTCTTTCCGAATGAGTATATTAAAATCCGAAAACAGCCTTGTATTCAGCTCGTCAAGGCGAATCTTTTGCTATACAGGTTATCTCCAATATCCTGTTTTCAGTAATCTTGAATTTGCATGCGGACGCCTTTTCGCGTGGGTGTAGGGCCTAGGGCATACCTCTTGCGATTTCGCGAAATCGCCACATCCTCGCGACTTGGCGATTTGCCAGATGTCTGCGGATTAAGCATGCTCGGCTCTTAGATGCATGGGCGCATAGATTCCATAAGTTGTAACAAATGCAGCAAGTCTGGCCCAAGCAAAGTGCGTTTACGATCAGCTGTGAAAAGTCGTTGCTGTGTCAGATTGCGCAGCGACTGAAATCGCGGGAGGTATGCCATCGGCATAACGCAACGAGCATCATACAGAGGAGACTGCGGCGGGCAGCCTTCGATGGTACTCTTTCAATAGATTATTCTGCGCTAAACAGCAGCCGAAGACTCTTTTAAAAAGATAGAAGAGCTGATAAACTCTGGAAAAATCAAGCTGTTCCAAGTTCTACTAGCCGTAACTCCCTTCAGAATGAACATCTTCGAAATCCGAAAACGGTTTACAGCCTGTTCTTGAAATTCCGTTTCCAATTTTTTCAAAATTTCTGCGCGCGTATATTCGCAAGTCGCAACCAGGGTAAAGCGGGGGGTGCGGCACGCCGCAAGGGGGGGGTCGTTAGGAGGGGGGGTAGGTAAGGGGGGGGGGTCGTATCGACCCAAGGTCAAAAGCACTTGTACAAGCTGTGTGACTAAATTGACTTGATGAAAGCGCTGTTGAAATCCTGCAAAATTCAAGTTCAACGACACAAACTTGCAGATACCGTATGCCTACCGTAACCTACCGTACCTCTAATCAAGCATAATTGTCGTAATCCGCGTGTCGAATAACCCCTATGCGCCAAGTTTCAGCGAACTCTGAGGTCTCCGGGCAGTAAACAACCTTGTATAAAGCAGTAATTAAAAACATGATTAACTTCATCTTAGCGGTGAGTAAGCTACCTCTTCTTGCACTCAATACAAAGCACTACTCCTTCTTTGTCCACCTCAGGAATCCCGCTTCAGAAGACCTCCAAACTATTGAATTAGAAGCCAACCAAAATCTCGTTTTTCTCATTTTTCGCTTTTGATCGCTGTGCTTTCACCAAATATTACTCAGAGCTAAGAAGACGAATCAGGCTCAAAACCCCTATGGAATCTACGAGTTTTAGGCTATTGATTCATATAAATATTGTGCGCTAAAAATGTTTTTTGATATGGTTAATGGCCTGCGGCACCCCCCCCCCTCAAAACCTGCGGCTGCCGCAGGTTTTGAGGGGGGTGGGGGTGCCGCAGGCCGTTAACTATATCAAAAAAACATTTTTAGCGGACAGTATTTATATGGATCGATAGCCTAGATCACCTAGTTTTCACAGGAGTGATTTGAGCCTGATTCGTCTTCTTAGCTCTGAGTAATATTTGGTGAAAGCAAGCGATCAAAAGCGAAAAATGGGAAAAACGAGATTTTGGTTGGCTTCTAATTCCATAGTTTGGAGGTCTTCTGAAGCGGGATTCCTGAGGTGGATAAAGAAGGGGTAGTGCTTTATCTTGAGTGCGAAAACGGATAGCTACCCTAATTTCACGCGTACAAGGCGCGGGGTGGTCCTAGCTTTCATCGAGCTGCTCAGCCACCCCAACGTGTTTTAAGAAGCGATCCTTATGCCGCACGATTCGTCAGGCAAAACGCAGCACGGTATGGGGTTCCTTTGGTTGCGAAGTCCTTTGCCGTGTTCGGGCTGGTCGATGAAAGCTAGGACCACCCCGCGCCTTGTACGCGTGAAATTAGGGTAATTTACCTTTGAAACAAAGTTAACCATGTTGGAATTTAACCATTTCACTTAGGTAGCCTAGTATCTTGAATCTTCAGAATTCGCTCAAACTTTGTCTACAGGGGCTAATTGACGCTCATTATGGATATGTTGCCCATTATGTTTGACAGGGCCTCAAAGTAATGCTATCTTAAGGGTATAGTCCAGGGGGGGTCTTATTAAGACAGCAATCAGGGGGGGGGGGTCGTAACCAGCGATCGTGTGCCACACCCCTTGCTTGACCCTGGTCGCAACGCCGCGCACATCAAACATAAAAGACTCCAATAAGCACTATTGGATTGTGCTGCTTCCGCAGATTACCGAGCGCTAAAAACGAACCGGAGAATCTTTTTCAAAAAAGAAGAGCCGGTGAATTCTGGAAAAATCGTGTTGTCTCAATTTTTGCCCACTGTAACCCTAAAATGGGAAGCTCCTGTAACAGATGTGATCTTCTTAATCAGCAGGTCAGATAACCTTTATGAGTAAGTTACAAAGAAATTCGGGTGATTTGATTTTTTCTCGTTCTACGCCCTGAAGCTCGCCGATGGGTTTTGTCAAAATGTCGATGATCTTGGATTATAAAGAAACTTCGCTCAAAGAGTTTATCTGACCTGCTGATTACGAAAATCACTCTGCTTAGCAGGAGAGCTTCCCATTTTAGGGTTACAGTGGGCAAAATTTGAGACAACACGTTTATTCCAGAATTCACCAGCTCTTCTATCTTTTTTGAAAAAGATTCTCCGGTTCGTTTTTAGCGCTCGGTAATCTGCGGAAGCAGCACAATCCAATAGTGCTTATTGGAGTCTTTTATGTTTGATGTGCGCGGCGTTGCGACCTTGCGAATATACGCGCGCAGAAAATTTTGAAAAAAATGGAAACGGAACGGAACTTCAAGGACATGCTGTAAACCGTTTTCGGATTTCGAAGATGTTCATTCTGAAGGAATTTACGGCTAGTAGAACTTGAAACAGTTTGGTTTTTCCAGAGTTCAACAGCTCTTCTATCTTTTCAAAAGAGAGTCTTCGGCTGCTGTTTAGCGCAGAATAATCTACTGAAAGAGTACCATCGAAGGCTGCCCGCCGCAGTCTCCTCTGTGTGATGCTCGTTGTGTTGCACCCACGCGAAAAGGCGTCCGCATGCAAATTCAAGATTATTGAAAACAGGATATTGGAGACAACCTGTATAACAAAAGATTCGCCTTGACGAGCTGAAAACAATGCTCTTTTCGGATTTTGAATATACTCATTCGGAAAGAAATTATGGCCCTGCGTAATTTGATTGATTTACATGAATTTCGCGAAATTCCGGGAATGTCGCAAAATTCCCGGAATTTCGCGAACGTTCGCGGAATTCCCGGAATTCTGTGACATTCACGGAAATTATGCACATTCTGTGAGCGGAATTGTATCTCCATTCATAGAAGTCTTATGGATCTCCAATCTGCACAGGGATGTATAGGCTGTACCAACCAGCGTCGGTCTCGCGCTGTCATGCCTTGCGAAGACGCACGGTCGCATGCGACGTGCCTTAACGCGTAGCAGTGTTCGCACGCGTCAAACCGCACCGTCGCAAGTCGCCACAGGCGCGACGTCACATGACCGATGCTGGTGGGTACAGCCTATACTCTCTACACTAAACATTCATCTGTATAGTTTGTGGTATTTTTCCATGGATACAGTACGAGAAACAAGAATAAGTCAAAAGTGCGAATATGTTGCGTTTTTCGGGTTTTTTGCAAACAATTTGATTTTTCTCCAAAACTAGCGCTTGTCTAAAACTGAAAATTCATGATTATACTCCTAAAGGTTCATATTACAGAATCATCGATGTGAGAGAGGCTCAGGATTGTTTTGGCAAAAATATGCCGAGTTTCGTTTTCTCAATTTTCATCCATGGAAAAAACGCGAAAATGTGCACACAAGTGTCTCGTATAGTGAGTACGTGCGTGAGCAAGTTAGGAGTTCCCAGGGCTTTTCTGAATGGAGATAAGATTTTTTTTCGTTTTTTCAGATGATTAGTGCCTTATGAAATTTGGCTGCGACCTTCACGCAGATCAAACCTGGCGCGATGTTTCGAGCTTCATTTTGTAGAGCTTGCTCTGATCTATCGGTTGATGCCCCACTTACTTACTTTCGTTCGCATCCTGTTGTGATAAAGCACGATAAAACACGATGCGACATTATTTTCTGGACAACCTAATACAAGCACGTATTTTTCTCTTTCCAGCAGCCATGCTTGATTACTCTGCAGAATCTAGGTTTGATATAATCATGAACTTTGCTGATAATTCGAACCTTTCGAATCTCGTTTTTTTTGTAGGGTTTCATGCATTTTTGTTCCAATCTTCAAAGATTGAGGGCGGTATAGAAGAAGACCTGAAGACCTAAAAAAGATTTGCTCTTAAGAGGTGTAATACTCTTTGTGACCGCATTTCCTTGAAAAGTTGGGATGAAATTCTTGTCAGTTGCTAATTCTGCTGGATTAAGAGAATTTTGGCAATTGTGTCTTCAAGGGTCAACAAGCGTCAGCCGATGTAATAATAAATAAGGACCAGCCGTTCTTGAACGGCGTCAGAGAAGTGCTGATTTTGGTCTGCGGCATTTTCATTACGAATATCAATTGCTCAGGTAAAGGCTTTGAAGACGGTTAAAACGACACTTAAAAGGAGATCAAGTAGGCAAATGTAATGCTTTTTGACATGACTTTTTGCTTTTTGAGTCTCACTGCTGAGCAACAATTGCATGCGCTACTTTTTTATGGATAAGTGTTTTTTCCAATTTTTTATCGCTGAGTATGAATGTAGCTAAGTGTTTTTTTTCTTTCTCGACGTTTTAGAATCCTTCTACAAATTCTTTTGACTACTTTTATTTATTATGCTCTACTCATCTGCGGGAAGTTTCCACATTATGTCGCCAAGACTCCAAAAAATGACCAGCTCAGCATGGACGCGCTGACCTGAACGAAAGCAAGTGTGTTGGTGACGCAAGGCAGCGTATGGCTAACCGCACCATCCGCAAGCTGAGGTTACGGTATCGATCGTTTTCACTCGCGTCCTCCTCGACGCAGCAGCGATGATCAATCATTGACCATCCGACCACATACATCGCCTAACATTTTGGGCCGCCTCGGCCCGGCCATTTGCTCCCTCTAGTGCGTCGTCGGCGTTAGATTAGCATCTTCGCATCGCGCTTCTCACTCCCCTACTCTCGTCACTCCCGCTGCTTTGGCCGTTGTGGAAAACTAAGACTAAATGGGCGAAGCGTTGAACTTAAGGTCAGTGACTCCTTTTTCACAATGATTGGTGAGGCGGGACACATCGTCCCATTTTTTGTTTCAATTTTGATATATCTGCTGTCTTTTGCTTTCAAAAAATAAACTGATGTCTTGTATATGATACATGACACCATGTCCTAAGATGTTGCACGACAGGGAACGTCTGATAGTGCGAACGTTGTGATAAGCGCTGTTCATTGAGTCCTCTGATCTATGTGTTAGTACATGTTAGTACACACGTTTGCTTGATTTTGAAAGTCTTACCTCTCGTCATTCGGAGAATTGTTATGGATTGGAAAATACTTCATCATGGACTATTATAGTTTTTGTAAAAGAAAACAGATGCCACTTTACGGTAATTTTCGCTGTCGTGGATGTCATGTTAAATGAGCGAAACAATTATATATCAGCTTCACTGAAAGATGTGAATCCGTTTCTCCATTTCAACTTTATTTTTCAAAGTGCGATATGCTGTTGAAGGAGCTTTTCACTGTAATCAGCACTGCCATATATGATATTGATTGAACGAGTAAAGATTTTTTTTATCTGGTTTGTAATAGTAGTATGACTCCAATGTAGTCCATACAAAAGCTTCATGGTAGCCTGTACCACACATATTGAAAGTTTATTTGACTAGAAAGCAGAATTGATATTTCGCCAATTTTCGCTCCTTTCTTCTGATAGGATATTTTAAAAATGTGATATGCGAAAGTGGGTGCCGTAAGCCTTCTATACAATTAGAGATTGCTGAAAGTAATCTTCCTACGTGATTCTTTTTTTTCAATGATTTTCGAGGTGATCTGCCTAATTCAAGCACTGTGTCATGAGTTTGATAGGAGAATAGTATCTCTTCAGTCTCATTTACTATTCCAGTTCGATGGCACCGCCTGCACGCGCTGGATTGTCACTAGTGCAAAGGAACCAAACAAATAATTTTGCCCCTCAACATGCTGGGAAGCTTACACGTCAACATGGAAGCGCGAATCTGCTAAGGGATACCAAACGTGGAATCAAAGAAGCCAAACCTAAGGTACTTTCAATAAAATTCTGACTATTTCTGTCTTTGCACATGAGTATTGAGCTGCTTTTCGAGTCTGAGTGCACTAGTCTTTAGAGAGAAGGAGTAACTTTAAACAATTGATTTGATTTTCGTCTTCTTATTGGGGGTAGGATCTGGCTGACCGTGAAAGACTATTTTACAGTGGGAGCCGATGCGGCGGCAGTTATTCAATGCCTATCTTCGAATTAGGAGATAATCTCGATGCATGAACGAAAATCGGTTTTGTGCGTTCAACCTTTAATTACACGTGTTTAGCCGTCGACGGTCAATGCAGCGCCCGCCTTTTCACGCTCTCGATCTTTTGCGCCAGCTGTAAATTCGAACTTTGAAGTTTATTGTGACGATGACAATGATGAGAACAATATCATACATCAATTAGAGAAGAAATGTCGGGAAGAAGAATTAAATAAACAAGAGCAGAAGGTATTGGGTGGAAATTTGTCATCAAGTAATTTATTTGATTTTTTTTGTAGGTAAGTGTAGCAGCACCAGCGCGTAAGCCATTAGGAGATCTTCCCATTTCCTCTCTTGACTTCAATTCCGATGAAGATGTGAGTTCACTTCATATGTTTAGAAACAATTCATTTACATAGAGACAATTCTTTTTTACTTTTTTTTGCAAGCACACAAATTTGCTTCACTTTCGTACAGCCCTTAAAGGCAGCGTCCAGGCAAGTCTGGACACATGGGGATCTCACGTGGATAGTAATTTTGGGGCCCTAACTAAGCCACTGCCCAACCGGCAATTCAGGTAGTGCTCTACCGGCTGAGATATTCCCCTCGAAACTGGACCCCGCGATCGTATTTCGCATGGATTTTGGCGCAAAGCGTGTGTCCTGGCGCGAAACTGCCATGAATCCATGAGAATAGATCGCGGGCAGAGGTGCGATAGGGGGAGCCGGGTCCCCCAAAAGTGAAGGTGGTTTCAGCTACCACTGGCCGGCCAAAAGTGAAGGTGGTAGTGTCGGACACTCACCTCCAGAGGTGCGGTAGGGGGAGCCGGGTCCCCCAAAAGTGAAGGTGGTTTCAGCTACCACTGGCCGGCCAAAAGTGAAGGTGGTAGTGTCGGACACTCACCTCCCAAAAACGTCGACGGGGGGGGGGGGGAGGTGCGGGGGGAGGATAGAACGGACGAACGGAGCTATCTTTCTAGGTCTAACGTCGACCCAACGGCCCTCTTTAGGGCCACAGATAATGAATATTAAAAATATCTATAAATTTTATTTATAAAAATTTAAAATAGACGTGTTTAGTAAATGGTGTATTTGGAAGTAGAAGTTTGTTGGACTGTACGGATTTTATTAAGCAAATTTTGTTATAACGTACAGCGAAGAAAGTAGATCGATCCAGGCAGTAACGGCCGAGAATCAGAATTTCGAATAAATAAATAGTGAAAAATCATGCAAAATTTCCACTGTTATAAATCTGTTGTTTGAAGATGTCAGCAGTTGCGACTTCATAGGTTTTAAAGAGTAAATGTTGCTCTATCAGCTAGTGAAGGATTCTGGTCGATTTAAGAGATAGTCGTTGAAAACCAGAGTTCTAAAACTTTACGCCATTTTTGCGTGTTTTTTGACTGTTGAGAGTTAAACTCTTATAAATCTTGAATTTGGAAGTGTATGATGTTGCGACTTCATAGGTTTTATAGAGTAAGGTTTGCCTTATCAGAATATGTCTTGTCCGTTCCGATCCGTTGAAACGCCTCCGAGATCCAGAGTCATGAAAAAGCAGGTAAAAAAGAGCTTTTTGAACTTCAACAGCTCATAACTTCTTCAGGATCGCACAAATCATGTTGCGACTTCATAGGTTAGATTCTTCTCGTCAAGAGCTTTCAGATGATATATAATATGTGGGGGTTTCGCGCCTCTTACGGCATATGCCCGGGGGGGGGGAGACTTTTTAGGCCAAAGTCTCCCCCGGCAGCCTCCAGCCAATACATTAAAATGGGCGAGGGGGAGACTTTGGCCTAAAAAGTCTCCCCCCCCCCCCCGGTCATAATTCGCAGGAGGCTCTAAACCCCCACATATTATATATCATCTGAAAGCCCTTGATGAGAGGAATCTAACCTATGAAGTCGCAACATGATTCATGCAGTTCTGAAGAAGTTATGAGCTGTTGAAGTTCAAAAAGCTCTTTTTTACCTGCTTTTTCATGACTCTGGATCTCGGAGGTGTTTCAATGGATCGGAACGGACAAGACATATTCTGATAAGGCAAACCTTACTCTATAAAACCTATGAAGTCGCAACATCATACACTTCCACATTCAAGATTTATAAGAGTTTAACTCTCAACAGTCAAAAAACACGCAAAAATGGCGTAAAGTTTTAGAACTCTGGTTTTCAACGACTATCTCTTAAATCGACCCGATTCCTTCACTAGCTGATAGAGCAACATCTACTCTTCAAAACCTATGAAGTCGCAACTGCTGACATCTTCAAACAACAGATTTATAACAGTGGAAATTTCGCATGATTTTTCACTATTTAAATATTCAAAATTGTGGTTCTCCGCCGTTACTGCCTGGATCGACCTACTTCCTTCGCTATACGTTATAACATAATTTGCTTAATAAAATCCGTACAGTTTTGCTAAGCTTTACTTCCAAATACACCATTTACTAAAAACCTTTATTTTAAATATATATGCCGCCGTATACATAAATATATGCTTTCAATAATCTTTTTTGCGTTTGTTTTGCTTATTTTCCTTCTTTGTCGTCCAGCGAAAAATTTTTTATTCCAAAAGCGAAGGTGGTCACCCCGTACCAGCTCAAAAGTGAAGGTAGGGGGAGACTTGGCTCCCCCTATCGCACCTTTGATCGCAGGGTCCAGTTTCGAGGGGAATATCTCAGACGTTGGAGCACTACCTGCACTGCCGCTTGACACGTAAAATCCCCATAGGTCCAGATCTGCCTTTAAAGGTGCCTTTAAAGGCAGCGTCCCTTTGCAGCGCGAAAGGGGTTTACGAAGTCTATCGCCCCCAAGTGGCCCGAATCTTACGGTAGGTGAGTACGAGATACATGCAAGGTAGAGACGCAGAATCGTCGTGGGACCCTGCACTCATGACTGTGTGCGCTATGCGTGCCTCTGCAGTTCAATCTGTGGGCGGCGTTCCTACCGTCAGATTCGGGCCACTTGAGGGGCGATTTGTAGACTTAGATTTGTAGTCCCCCTTTCGCGCTGCAAACTTCTGTCATCGCTTAGTTAGGGGGTCCACTATTACATTAATACCAGATGGCTTTTAACTTTTTGAATAAATTACTTGTATTTTGAAAACATGGTTCTGTTTTTGCTAGTGTAATTTTTTCAGGAAGTCTTTTCGACGGTATCCCATATCCCTTCCTTCCCAGCCACCATACGATCTGATTTTTCTAACTTTGGAGTTAATGATGATGACGATGCTAAATCATCTCATTATGGCAGCGCACTCGATTTTGAAACAGATAGTCGTGATGAATATATGACAGCAGTATCCGAGAAAGAATTACGCGAGGACATCACCTTTATGAATGTCGAATTTTCTGATGATATCTATAGGTATAGCAAAAAAATTTATGTACTATGCAGATTTGTCCGTTTTAAAAGAGTGATTGAGGTACATGCGAGATAGAGAAACAAAAGTTCGAGCCAAAGCTCATTATATGACGCGACAGACTGATATAAATCCTGAAATGAGAGCTATCCTTGTGGACTGGTTATCAGAAGTAGCCCAGGAATACAAAATGCATCAGGTAGAACCACGATCCTTCGTTTTATGAGAAAAACAACTTGCTTCTAGGAAACGTTACATCTTGCTGTCTCGTTAGTAGATAGGACTTTATCGAAATTTCGCACAAATCGGGATCGTTTGCAGTTGATCGGAACAACTGCTATGATGATATCATCGTAAGTACCTGTTTATTTGTTTTATTTGCCATTGTACAGTTCTTTAGTCTCTTCTTCCAGAAAATATGAAGAAATTTATCCACCTGAGCTGAAAGAATTTGTCTATGTCACTGATGACACTTATACGGCAGAGCAGGTAAAGTGCTTACCAAAGCGTGTCCTTTGCAACTTTCTACATTGTCGTCTGCAGATTCTTCATATGGAGCGCATCATTCTGAATGAACTGCACTTTGATGTCGGGACTCCGACCTCCCAATGGTTTGGCGGTCGATTTGCCCGACATCAACGTGCTACACGAAAGACCGTCAACGCAATGAATATGCTACTCGATCTAGTGCTACTCGAGGTCGAATATATTGCATATAGACCGTCGTATATTGCAGCTGCTTGCCTTTGCTACGCGAATGTTCTCACAGGTAACTTTTTTTACAGCGCTATATTTGTCTATTGAAGAGTTCTTCACAGAATTCCGGTATGTTTGTGCAACTTTTTGGCTGTAGAAGTTCCTATGTTGCCCATTCAACGCCTGCTTTACACTTATTTCAATTTCGAGTCTTTCTTTGTGGTTCATTTTACGGGCATTTTGCCAAGTTACTCTATCGACTGAGACAGTAGATCTTCCAGGACCTAAACCATGGTCGACCGAAATGGAGCACTGGTCAGGTATATCTATCGCAAATATCACCACCTTGCTTCGCGATGTGCATAACACCTTCCGATTGTCCTCCACGTCAAAATTCCGGTCCATTCCTCAACGATATGGCACACCTGAATTTGACTGCGTCGCCGATCTCCCACCACCAACCCAACTCCCTTTATGATGAGTCCTCAGTATTTTGATACTTTTATGTTGCTATAATACTGCCATCATTTTGTTTTCGAGATCTCATTCAGAATCCACAGACTTTCATCATGTACGCGGTAGTCTATGCTATTTACCTTCGCGCTTGCGAGCTAAGCCCTTAAATAAGACCTGCGCACTTCAACTTTTCTCTGAGGTTGTACAGATAGACATAATTTCATGTGTCTCGAAAACTTTCGTGATCAGCATATATAAATGTTCTAGGTTGCAGCTTAGAATATTGGAGTATTAGCTGTTTACATTGCTCTAACAAATCACCTTAAAACTGCCCAGGAATTTGCATGTACCCATCATATTGAAAAAAACCCCTCCATATTGACCTACTAACCCTTTAAACACCAATCAGCTATGTATCATATGTGTCTAAAACGACCAATTATGCTTATATAATTTGTATGCTGTGGATAAAGGAAAAATGATAAACGTTTCATTTGATTCTTATGCTGCAACATAGCGTTTATTTGAAGTGTTGGGCAATAAAACTGGGGCGTCAACTATGAGACTGTGCAATTGCCGTAGATCATCATGTGGAGACTTATGACAGCCCAGTGCGTTAACATTTTGCATTTTTGTGGTACGAACCCGACTCGATTTGCTACTGCGAGTGGGGATGTTTGCAGGTTAGGAAGCGGAAGCGCATGTCGGAAAACTTTCATTATACAAATCGTGATGTTTGTCTCTGTTGAAGCAAAAAGCCCGTTCTAACATAGGTTTTTTGTTTCTTTGAATGAGACTGCCCGATTAGTAAGGTAGGTAGCAATGACACTAAGTATAGATAACATCTGCTAAACAGTATATTTTGGACCGAATCGAATAAGTACTCAAGTATTCGAATAAAATTTATTCGAAATTCGATTATTTGAAAATATCAGGCTCTCGAATATATTCCATATTCGTTTATTCGAAATTGTCAATTTCGAATCTATTCGGTGATTCGATAATATTGATTTTCCAATGTGTTCGAACATCTGAATATCTGCTTTCAGTAGTCCTTCGATTATTCGACATTTACATGTAATCGAATTGATAGGTGACAGCGTCACATTTTTGATTGTTACATCAGCAAATATCGTCCGTTGTTCAAGTTGCCCGCCACATGGAGTTCTTGTGCTAATTCTATCAAAATTTGTTTGAATATTCGACATAGTCAATGCAAAGTATTCTTTTATTCGATTTTTTTCTCGAATGTACTCAATTATTCAAATTTTCATCTCGAAAATAATCTATATTCGATTATTCGACAATTTGATCAAAATATTCGATATTCAACTATTCGGCAAATACTCGATACTCGGATACTCGACATCTTGTTTTCGAAAATATTTGGTCCATCTTCGCTATATTTTCTGAATACTCCAAAGCATGCCAAACCATGTGGCAGTTTTGCGAGATCGCGATGCATTTCCATACATTTCCATACAGGATCGCGAAACCCTTTCGGTATCGCCCCTTCCACAGCTGCTGCTATCCTTGGTCTGCGTCACTACCTGCCACGTGTGGTTAACATGTTTGCAACGTCAGCAACACATGTTTGCAACATCCAACAACATCTCGGCGTTGAGGCTAATAGCCAAATCGTTCTGCCAACATGTTGTTGCATGTTGCAAACAAGTCTCGCCGACATTGCAAACATGTTAGCCACACGTCTGAGACGGAGACCAAGGGTAGCAGCAACTGTGGAAAGGACGATACCTTTTGTCCGAACAAATAGAAGGAGCTTTGGTGTGCCGACGCGTCAAGCAAGTCAGACAGTGTCGCTGTTGGATACTGTCGTGCAAAAATGCCCCTACCGCTAAACTGTACAGTCGTTTTCAATACGTATTGGTCTTTTCTACCTTATGCCTTCCAGCCTCAACATGAAGTGGACTGGTGAGGCTCCGCATGGCTTCGGCCTTGCGCCACGTTGCTTTTCTCGCCACGTCATGCCAAACGAGCGTCCGCTACATGACGCAGGCTTGAAGACCAACTGTGTTGGTCCAGTCTTCCGATGTTGCTTCTAAGCGGAGAAAACCCGCCTAATTCTCTCTTCGCTCCGCCCCTTACTCTTCGGTCCGCCTCCTTCGGACGAATCCACGACAACAGATTTGGCAGTCGTTGCCACTTTAAACTACAGTTCGTGCAGCATCTACAGGGTATTTGTGGCAGGACCCTCTGTATTTCAGGCCAGGGCCCGGCACGCGTTGGTTTGGGGCACTTCTGGAAACGAAGTCCCTCATTTTCGCGAAAATTTACGAAGTCCCCTTTGATGTAAAAATCAATAGTGAAACCCTTATTTAATCAACAACAATAAAAAAACGAAAAAAAGGCATCTTGAGGTATCTACCTGATATAACAAAAAAGCAAAAATAAGCATTCTAAGTCGATTAAAGGCTCTTTCATTGATTATGGTACCATTTTGGTGCTCAGAATGTCGAAATCCCCCTAGGCAAACCAAACCTGTGGCCTCAAAAATGTGGCGATGCATTTTTTACCACATAGTTCAAAGGCCGCATGCGATTGGAGCGCGATTTATCAAAGCGTAGGTTTACATTACTTTTGGCGGCTCAAAATAAAAAGAGAGGCAATGGTTTGATTCGCTCTTTCCACTATATGATAGATTTTTGGGCGTCCTAATCGTCTAAATCAAAAAGGTCCAAAACTTATGTGAACTCTTATTTATGCTCCGAACCAACCCAGTTGGTTTGATGTTGGTCTAGAAACCAACAAATTCGGGAACGGGTACTAGGACACATAAGTCTTTGAAACTTCTTACATAATATAGTTTGGAGTAATATTATTATATACATATAGCCCAAATTCGGTGCCATGTGATTGTTTGTGCGCTGTAAACAAGGCATGTGTTTGTTTGAGGCTTGCGTGTGAAATTCGCGCGCTTGCGAAAGAACACGTCTGACTCGCAGGACCTGACATCGTTCTTTTTTTTCTCGGCGCTTCAGCGAGGACCTTATGAAAACGATATCCGCTGTGCTTCTAACCTCAAAGACGAAGTCCAGTTTGACCCCAGACTATCTATGCCGGACCCTGCTGGAAGGCATACGGTAGAAAAGACCAATACTTATTGAAAATTACTATATATGTGCTTTACTAACAAGGCACCTTGTACCTTCCAGCAATCGTGCATGTCAATTAGGTAGTCGTCAAGATGACATCATATCAATCTTTATTCTTGTAGCAATCAAAGAGGTAGAAATACACATTGTTTGTTCCGATTTCGTTCGAAAGTGGTAAATAGACCAATTTCGTCGATGCAGTTGAACAAGCCCATATTCATTGAACGTTTTCAAAAAGCACGGCAATACCCTGTCCTCCTCCAATGCATGCTGATCCTATGCCATACTTTAAGTTGCGCCTTCTGGAATGTAGACAAGATAAATAAACTAGCGACTCGTGCAAACACACGCCGCATCCGTGCCAGAGGCTAGTCTAAAGTTGCCCATGTGCCGAAGCTGTGCCACCGCCGTACCAGCGTGATGGAACCAACGCGCATGCACTCCATATTGATCGATCGCTGTTCAACATGGCACTGGGCGGCGTGGCATGGCGCTGGCTTGGCGACTCTAAACGCAGCCTCACCGGCGAGAATCCCCAGTCCACATATGATCCAGAAACCTCGTGAATCACAAGGATTTTATTGTAAAACTCACTTGAGCTCATGCGTAAGGTGTACGCTAATTCGTGCCCCTGATGCGCCAAGAGGATGTCCAAGAGCGATGGCACCACCATTCAAATTCAATTTCTCCATAGGGATTCCTAGCTCTCGTTGTACCGCCAGCGCTTGGGGAGCGAAGGCTTCATTAAGCTACAAATAGATGTATTCAAAGGATTTTCCAGTTATTAGCGTAAAGCTAGTTTGACGCTCAAATGATTTCGCTTATGACTTCGCAGGGTCACGGTGATGCACGATATGAGTAACAACAAACCACAGTGGGTTACTGTGTCGAATAGATTGAGAGACTGCTCCTGTGCAAAATTCGACAATTCCCTTCAAAAGCATCTGCCGCCTCACAAAAAAAAAACGCTATTTTGAAAGAGTTATTGCATGGAGTTCGGACAACCTTCCCAGCAAAGATAAGTTGAAAATGTGAACCATCAAATTTAGTGACGAGTATGCCGATATGCGAGATATGGATTAAGCACGTTCAGAGTTGTCCTAGTGTCGGCGCCGTGCCAGAACGTGGGCTCGCCCCATATACTGATCGAGCTCCGGCACGCCGTTGAAACACGCTTACACGAGAGTTCTAGAATAGGCGCAAGACTTATACATCCGCTCATCCGCTCAGTGTGACCAATCATGAAGTGGCTAAGCGTTTCAAGGGATAATAATGGCGGCTGCTTTAGCTTCACCAGTCTCAAACTGCTGATAGGCCTTGGGCAGAGTTCACGCGATTTGATCGTCGCGATTTAACCGCTACAAGACAAGTGTTATGAGTTCATTGCATATCAATCTTCTTGCATTTCGATTGTGACAGTTTTCACTATTACAACTGAAACACAAGAAGATCGGCATGCAGTGAACTCGTAACACTTGTCTTGTAGCGATTGAATCGCGACGATCAAATCGCGTAAACTCTGCCCGAGGCCATAGAGGTACCAACTTCAAAGATGTCGATATCGTTCATCTTCATGCCAGTTTGTTTCAAAACTTGTCGGATGGCTGGAGCTGGACCAATACCCATGATTGTGGGATCGCAGCCTCAAAAAGAAATCAAAGACGAAAGAATACGAGAAGCGGGAACAAACTCACCAACGGCAGCGTAGGCAACCACTCGTACAAGCGGTTTCAAACCGTTCCTATTTATGGCATCTTCGCCAGCGACAACCATAGCTGCTGCACCATCAGATATACCCTTAAAAAGCAGTTCCACTAGGTTTGTTAAAATTCCCCGTTTTATGCGTGATTTCTTACCGAAGCATTTCCTGCATTAATGAGACCATCCTTTTGGAACACAGGTTTCAATTTTGACAGACTCTCCATTGTAGTCGAAGGTCGAGGGTGCTCATCCACCTGCGCAAGGTATCCATGACGACAAGAATTTGTGACTACACTTCAGCCCATTCGAATCTGCCATGGATTATGCGCGCAGAGATCGACGAAGCCGCGGAATGCGCACATTGCGGCACTCGAGGCAGAGCGCTGTCCTGTAAAGCGGCCTAGCCCCCATTCTTTGTCATTTGGTTGAGTTTGAATGCAATTAGTGCACCTTTTCACATGAAAACAGTATGAAATAGCATGTAAAGGTTATTGTCAAACGAAGGAGCAAATGCATATCAGCTACAGTCTGCCCCAAGCGGGATCAGGCCGAATCGTCGGCGTGGATTTGCGCTCGCAGCGCTAGGCATTTGCGCTGCATATGCGCGCTGGCGGAGAGAGCGAGGAGATCGAAGAGGGAGTAGACAAGCAGGCCGTGGGCGTGACCGCAAAACCCTAGCGACGCAGACTCCCGCCATGCTAATTTTGGCCTGATTAGGATTGGGGCAGACTGGGCTGCACGTCAGGAGGTACGCCGCGCGCGGCGGCCGCTTCGCCGCGCACGCCGCGTCCCGATCTTGGGACCCATAGTGCTCCCCATACCAGAGACTCCCGGCGGCAAAAAGGTGGGGGTGGGGGTGGAGGCAGATATACAGTGCTGGCCAAAACTACAGATCCACTATAAAAAACTGCCGTAGTTCATCTGCTTCTCAACGAATTGATCTGAGATTTGGTACAGTTGTGTGTTCAACAGGCATTCATCAGTGACCGGAGTGGATTCCGCTTTCGGTAGATTATTCAGGAAAAAAATTAAAAATTTCGAAAAAAGCAGGCTCGAAAGTTGGCCAAAACTATAGATCCACCTAACATTTCTGCCTGCTAACGTAATTCTTAGCTTCCAAAATCTTTTGTGCATAAACCTAGTCGAAAGTCAAAGCAGTGGGTTTAGTTCAGCTGCGTCATACCTTTATAAGAAACGCTTATCTGCTTTTTTCCACTCAAAAACTGCTCTCATGCGTATTTTGTTCCCGAGAATGTGTTTTTGTAGAGGATTCCGCACTTTTTTGACTGGTTTGAAAGTGATAGGGCTCCATCTATCTTATAGATGCTTAGCAGCGTGAGCAGTAGAAAAAAATTCGGTTTTTCGTATCCAAAGCGCACCTGACACGGACATAACCGTAGGCCTGCGCTCGAATTTTTGCCTTCAAAATTGGTATCCGCTATTTTTATAAGCTCAAAATAATGCAGAAGCATTATTTAGCATTATTTACCTAAAAAGAAGTTTGTAAACTATAGTTACGATTGCTTGCGAAGTCGCACTTTAATTCTTTTTCAAAGCACAAGTCTTGCGGTGTGTTCGGCAATCTCAAAGTACTTACCAACTGGTACCTTCTTTGAATTTTGCCACTTTTTAGCTGCTAACTATTGAATACACCCTGCAATATATGTTGCCTTGTGATTCACATGAGCATTATGGTCAGAAGCAGAAATAACTTCAAGGCTTGTTGCAAATCACTTTTTGCAGGATGAAGTTCTCAATTAGCCTGCATACTAGGATCTGCAGAAACCTGCAACCACTGCATACGGACTCTCATACATACCAACAATGTAACTACTCCAGTTCACGCTCATGACAACGTTGCAGAAAGAGCTTGAAGGCATAAATTTGAACGCAGGTTAGCGGTTAGGTCTATGTCAGGTGCGCTTTAGATACGAAAACCCGAATTTTTTTCTGCTGCCCACGCTACTAAGCATCTATAAGATAGATGGAGCCCTATCACTTTCAAACCAGTCGAAAAAGTGCGGAATCCTCTACAAAAACACATTCTCGGGAACAAAATACGCATGAAAGCAGTTTTTAAGAGGAAAAAAGCAGATAAGCGTTTCTTATAAAGGTATGACGCAGCTGAACTAAAGCCACTGCTTTGACTTTCGACTATGTATATGCACAAAAGATTTTGGAAGCTAAGAATCACGTTAGCAGACAGAAATTTTAGGTGGATCTATAGTTTTGGCCAGCCTTCGAGCCTGCTTTTTTCGAAATTTTTGATTTTTTTCCTGAATAATCTGGCGAAAACGGAATCCGCTCCGGTCACTGATGAAAGCCTGTTGAACACACAACTGTACCAAATCTCAGATCAATTCATTGAGAAGCAGGTGAACTACGGCAGTTTTTTATAGTGGATCTATAGTTTTGGCCAGCACTGTATGACTCAATGCCATAAGTAACATTGCGCCTGGAGTGCTGCTGTTGTATTGTTTGAAGTACGTTGCGGCGTCGCTTTGCGAAAAAATTCGCGCCGATCGTACCTCCTGACCGTCCCCGGGCAGACTGTATCTTTGACCTTATAAACCTAGCGCCTCATGCGCTTTGCGGCCAATAAAATTGCGTTCGCCCACCTAGGTTGTGCGCCTTTGCGCCTGGTAGTAGCTTTTACAGTGCTCTTGAGAAGGGATGCTCACAATCCGCATTCACGCGCTGAGTGGGCGTCGCGTCAGCGCACAATGCGGGTGCTTTCGTACGAATAGAATAAAGCTGAATTAGCTCACCTCAAAAGTCTCTTCACCCTTCTTGCCCTTCACTTTCATTGATGTGATTTCTTCTTTGTAATATCCTGCATCTTGCGCTTTCTTCCACAGCTGCTGGGATCGTAGTGCAAATTCATCAGCATCTTTTCTAGTGACCTGAAGAAATATTTCAGCAACAAAAACTTGATGTACTTGTCTTATATATAAAGCTGAATGACTGTTTGTCTGTATGTCTGTCTGTCTGTCTGTATGTGCGTACGTATGTTCCGAATAGAAAATTCCATTTCTGAACCGATCGGGACCAAACTTAGCACACATACACTTCGGGCCCCGGCGGGTGTCATAGGCTACTTTTCGTCATCGATCGATATCGATTTTATCGATTTTTTGCAAAAATTCTGATCACCCCCGTGGGGGTGATCAGCATGCTCGATTGCACCCCTCTGCCAACTCCCACCTCGTAGCTCAAATTTTGCAAAAAATCGATAAAGTCGATATCGATCGATAACGAAAAGTGGACTGTGACACCCGCCGGGGCCCGAAGTGAATGTGGGCCTAGTTTGATCCGGATCGGTTGAGAAATGGAATTTTCTGTTCGGAACATACGGCGGAGCCGGGTAAGCCAGCTAGTTTGAAATATTCCTTAAAGGCAGCGTCCAGGCAGATCTGGACCTATGGGGCTTTTACGTGGAAAGTACTTTTGGGGCCCTAACTAAGGCACTGCCCAAGCGGCAGCTCAGGTAGTGCTGTAATGGCTGAGATATTCCCCTCGAAACTGGACCCCGCGACCGTGTTTCGCATGGATTCATGGCGCAAAGCGTGGATCCTGGCGCGAAACTGCCATGAATCCATGCGAATACGTTCGCGGGGGCCAGTTTCGAGGGGAATATCTCAGCCATTAGAGCACTAACTGAGTTGCCGCTTGGGCAGGGCCTTAGTTAAGTCTCCAAAAGTACTTTCCACGTAAAAGCCCCATAGGTCCAGATCTGCCTGGACACTGCCTTTAAGATTTCAATAAATCAGTCAATGGTAATTAGCCAATCACCATTCAGATGGGACAGAGTAAACGTCTACAATACCGCTCATAATTCGTCAAAAAAGTCGCCGGAGTGCGCTGCAGTGCGACGAAGTGCGCTGCAGTGCACGGTAGTGCAGCAGAGCGCGCCGCACTCCACTAGAGTCCGCCAAAGAGCAGAAGAGTGCGCCGCACATCACTAGAGTCCGCCGGAGAGCAGTGGAGTGCGCTGCACATCACTAGAGTTCGTCGGAGTCCGCGTCGCATCGCCATATCTCGCTTCAGAACGGAAAAATTCTGAATCCAAGAACACCGTTCGCTTCAGCTCGGTGGGACGCATCATCTCATATATAGAGTGCCACAATCTATCAGGATACGATAGGTATACGGTAGACAGTAAGTTTTTGCTCAATTTTGAAGATTTTTGTTTGATTGGATTGTTCAATGTGCTGATAACAGTATTGCCATTGATTTGTCGCTGATGACACATGGTAGGTATACTTAGGAATATGAAAGAGAGTTATTGTGATCGAATTTGTACTAAAATCTGGTAGAATACCGCTCACAGAACGTGCATAATTTACGTGAACTTTGCGGAATTCCGGGATTTCCGCGAAAGTCCGCGATATTCCGGAAATTTCGCGACATTCCAAGATCCGGGAATCACGCAAACTACGCAGCGCCGTAACTTCCTTCGAAATGAATACATTCTGAATCCGGAAGCAGCATTGTTCAGCTCGTCAAGGCAAACCTTCTGATATACAGCATGCCCTCGATATTCCGTTTCCGATTTTCTGAACTCTTCTGTGGGGGTCGTTTTGCAAGGATGTAACGTAGCGTCTGTGTAACATAAGTAAGTACTATTCGATAGTACTGTTTTTGTAGGTTATTGTGCGCTAAAAGTAGCTGCAGACCATCTTCCAAAAAAGATAGAAGCGTTGGTGGATTTTGGAAAAATCACGCTTTTTCAAATTACGCGCCGTTTCCTTCGGAATGAATATATTCTGAATCCGAAGAAACCGTTGTGTTTAGCTCATTAAGGCAAATCTTTCGAAATATTCTCAAGTCTTTCTATGGACGTCTTTTCGCAAAGGTGTGAGGCAGCGCGCATTGCTCTTAGTAGATTCCAGAAAGAACCTTTCACTAGTACTTATTCTGTAGATTATGGGGCTCCAAGAAATAGCGGTACACTTCTTTCCAAAGGAAATAGAGGGGCTGGTGAATTCTGGAAAAATCATGCCTTTCTTAATTTTTCTCACCGTAACTCTAAAATTTGAAGCTCTCTTGCCAAGATGTGATTTTCGTAATCAGCAGGTCGTTGGTCAGCAGGTGTTCATAACCCTTATGAACAAGTTTTCCGAGATTTTCGGATGATTTCATTTTTTCTTGTTTCACGCTCTGAAGCTCACCAGTGGGTTTTGGTCGAAATGTCCACGATCTTGGTTTGGAAGAAAACTCCGCTCATAAAGGTTTTCGAACACGCTGTTTATGAAAATCGTGGTCTTTGTCAAGTACAGGGTCTTTTTGCAGAGATATGGTGAGGTGACTGTAAGGGCGTCACGAAAGCTCGTAACTTCGCCTACTCTCCGTATCTGTAAGAAATTGCCTGCTTGCTTATCTTATATATAAAGCTGAATGTCTGTTTGTCTGTCTGTATGTCTGTCTGTCTGTATGTCTGTCTGTCTGTATGTCTGTCTGTACGTATGTTCCGAATAGAAAATTCCATTTCTGAACCGATCCGGACCAAACTTGGCACACATACACTTCGGGCCCCGGCGGGTGTCATAGGCTACTTTTCGTCATCGATCGATATCGATTTTATCGATTTTATCGATTTTTTTGCAAAGTTTGAGCTACGGGGATGGGAGTTCGCACAGGGGGGTAATCGAGCATACTGATCACCCCCAAGGGGGATGATCAGCATGCTCGATTACACCCCTGTGCCAACTCCCAGCCCCCTAGCTCAAGTTTTCAAAAAATCGATAAAATCGATAAAAGTAATGGACGATCCTGAAAACTAATATTGTGTTCGTAATCAGCATGCTCGATTACCCCCTGTGCAAAATCCCAGCCTCGCATGTCAAAATTTACAAAAAATCGATAAAATCAATAAAAGTAATCGATAATTCTGAAAACTAATATTGTATTCGGAATCCCCATGCTCACTTCCCCCCCCCCCCCCTGTGCCAACTCCTAGCCCTGTAGGTGAACTCTGCAAAAAAATCGATAAAAATCGGTAAAATCGACATCGATCGATAACGAAAAGTGGACTGTGACACCCGCCGGGGCCCGAAGTGTATGTGTGCCAAGTTTGGTCCGGATACGGCGGAGCCGGGTAAGCCAGCTAGTAAAGGATAAAGTTACGTCGCCGTTTCCTAGTAACTTTACCCTTTATAAGCAGTCAAGAAGAGAGTCTTTTCGCCAAGATATGGTGAAGTAACTGTAACGGAGTCACGAAAGCTCGTAATCGCCTGCACCTTATCTGTCAGGAAACTTGCCTGGCTAGACTGAAGTTACTAGTGCCATCATGGCACATGTCTCAAGCTCTATAAAAATCGCCGAGTTATGAGCCTACAAAAACACGTCCTCATGCATTTTGTTCAAAATGTAAAGATCGCATACTTCGTCGAAATTCCACCGTGACTGGTTATTGATTGCAATTATCATGTTCACTTTGCCCAAGGATCCCAGTGTACTGAATATGGTGGTTGCGTGTGCTTCAGCTGCTTAATTGAGTCGGCTTCGCGGCTAGAGCTCAGATCTAACTATCAAATCCAACACAGGAAGATCCATTAAGCGATGTGAACAGATTTGATTAGCGTTTTATACAACCACTCATGGAATTTCGACGAAAAGTACGATCTTCACATTGGGCAATATTCATGAGGACGTATTTTCGTAGGCTCGTAACTCAGCGAGTGTTCCAGATTGGAGCTTGAGACATGCACCATTCGATGCCTGCTTGCTTTTAAAGGATAAAGTTACTAGGAAACTGGGACGTGGGACGTAACTTTATCCTTAATAAGCAAGCAGGCATTTTCTTCCAGGTACGGAGAGTAGGCGAAGTTACGAGCTTTCGTGTCGCCGTTACAGTCACCTAACCATATCTGTGCAAAAAGACCCTGTACTTGACAAAGACCATCATTTTCATAAACAGCATGTTCGAAAACCTTTATGAGCGGAGTTTCCTTCCAAACCAAGATCGTGAACATTTCGACCAAAACCCACTGGCGAGCTTCAGAGCGTGAAACAAGAAAAAATCAAATAACTCGAAGTTCTCTGGAAACTTGCTCGTAGGGGTTATCCGACCTGCTGATTACAAAACTCATATCTGCTCAGCAAGAAAGCTTCGTATTCTAGGGATACGACGAGTACAATTTGGGACGACAAGATGTTTTTTTGCAATTCACCAGTCCTTCTATCTCCATTGGAATGACGCCTGTAACTACTTTTTAGCTCCATAATCTAAAGAATAAGTACAATCAAATGGCTCTTTTTGAAGTCTACTAAGAGCAATGCGCACTGCCTCACACTTTTGTGAAAAGACGTCCATAGAAAGATTTGAGAATAATGAAGGAATATCAAGGACAAGATGTATTTCGAAAGATTTGCCTTGAAGAGCTAAACACAACACTTTCTTCGGATTCAGAATATATTCATTCTGAAGGAAACCGCGCGTAATCTGAAGAAGCGTGATTTCTCCAAAATTCACCAACCTTCTATCTTTTTTGGAAGATGGTCTGCAGCTACTCTTAGCGCACATTAACCTACAAAAACAGTACTATCGAACAGTACTTACTGAAGCCTTTTACGTTACACAAACGCTACCTTATATCCTTGCAAAACGACCCGCACAAAAGAATTCGAGAAAGTGCGTAGTCTGTGTGATTCCTGGATCCTGGAATGTAGCGAAATTTCCGGAATATCGCGGACTTTCGCGGAAATCCCGGAATTCCGCGAAGTTCACGTAAATTATGCACGTTCTGTGAGCGATATTCTACCTGATTTTAGAACAAATTCGATCAGAGTGACTCTCTTCCATACTCCTAAGTATACCTACCATGTGTCATCAGCGACAAATCAATGGCAGTACTGTTATCAGCACACTAAACAATCCAACCAAACAAAAATTTTCAATATTGAGCAAAAACTTATGTCTACCGTATACCTATCGTATCCTGATAGCTTGTGGCACTCTATATATGAGATGATGCGTCTCACCAAGCTGAATCGAACGGTGTTCTTAAATTCAAAATTTGTCCGTTCTGAAGCGAGATATGGCGACGCGATGCGGATTCCGACAGACTCTAGTGATGCAGCGCACTCCGCTGCTCTCGGGCGGACTCTAGTGGAGTGCAGCGCACTCTGCTGCACTTCGGCGCACTGCAGCGCACTCCGGCGACTTTTTTGACGAATTATGAGCGGTACTGTAGTTGATGAAAGGCTGTCTGACTAACAAAGATGGCTGGGTGTGTGGCGGAAGGCGAGAATCTCCAGTTTTATGCGAAAAACTCTTCCGTACTAAAGTGGCATGCCGCCAGTTAAGGGGGGGGGGGGGCACATACATGACACGATGCCATAAGTATAATAGAATTTTGCAAAAGTCAACGAGGCTTTTACAGTGCTTGCAATTTGCGCGGATTGTCGCCCTCCGCGTTCCGCCTACATGGGCTCCCTACTTGATCGGTCTACACAGAAAACCGTTTAGGTGAGGGACCCATCATATTTCGCCGAAAAAAGCCCAAAAAAGCCCAAAAAGCCTGAAAGAGCCCAAAAAGTCCGAAAGAGCCCAAAAAGTCCGAAAGAGCCGAAACGTCCTTTCCGTTTTGACGCTAAGGCATGTGTGTTGATTTCGTAGCCGAGTCTTTTTGCTTCATTTTTTGTCAACTGCATATCAAAATAATATCAGAATTCGACCAAAAGTTTTTTCTGCGTTCCGGCTCTTTCGGGCTTTTCCGGCTTTTTCGGGCTTTTTGGACGCTTTTGGACTTTTCCGGCGAAGTATGACGGGCCCCTAAGAGAAACTTTAGTAGTTACTTCTGCATCTAACCTTGTACTGTGCTCCGAGTTTCTCTGCTGTCTGTCCCATAGCTGATTTTGCATAGCTGTCAGTAAGTGATTCCCACAACATATCTTCGAACTGAATCATGATTTCCGACCTCTGATTTCCCAAATGATAAAAATGGGCGTTTACGTATCACCTACTTCATACTTCATGCCAAGAGCTGTTCCAAACCGTACATTCCTTACAGCAAATGGAACCTGTGTCATATTTTCTGTGCCTCCAGCAAGGACGAGTTTTGATTCGCCGAGCTTGATTTGCTAAAAAAAATTTGATTAAAAAGCAGTTATGAGACTATATTTTCTATGCATGTTTCTATACACACAAAAAAATTACATAGTCATCATGTCGGTATCTTAGTAGGGGAATCGCTTGAGCACTCAAAAAATGCCCAGTTTGCAAAGCGTCGTTTCTAACGCGTCGCGAACAATTTCACGCACACGTACGCACACAACCGCTACGTTGCGGTGGCCGCATTGTCTATGTCCGGACATAATATAAGGACTGGAAAAAGTTCAATGTGGCTTACCTGAGCAGCATTGACTAGAGCTTGGAAGCCAGATCCACATAGTCGATTTACGGTAAAGGCACCAACTTCCTGTGGAACACCGCTTCTGAGGCCGATGTGACGAGAGAGATAGATTCCGTCTTTGGCACTAGGAACAACATTTCCTAAACACAATTTCTTTTTGAACAAAAGCTGAGGAGTTTAGATACCTTAAACATCCTCAGAGTTGCTTTACGTTATTTTTTCCCCGTGCCATTAGTAGGTTACAAAAATTTATAACGAGAACTGATCTCACCAAATATGACATGGTCGATGTCATCAGGTTTGACATTGGCGTGTTTTAAAGCTGCTATGCTAGCGATGACTCCAAGATCCGTTGATGATGTATTCTTCAGTTTTCCACCAAATGTGCCAAAAGCTGTCCGTTTTGCGCCCACGATGAAAACTCCTAAAAAAATGAAGACTCCTAGAATGGAATACATAGACGATTGACTACAGCTTTCCTAATATAAATCCTTCAACAGTGATTCTTTCGCCTGTTCAAGTTGAAGGATCCTCAAAAGAGTTTGAAAAATTTGAAGCTATTCTGATTGATAGATCTTGTTCCTACGAAATCTTAATTCATCCTCTGCGCAAAATTGCAAATTAAATTCAAAATTTTATATATTCAGGGAACGATAATTTTGGATGTTGTTCCCGCTTTTCTATCGCATTGGAAAATTCTCCACAAAGAAAAGATACCACATTGTTTTAGGATTTTTTGATACACACTACTGTGTTTATTGAAAGATGCAAAACTTTTGGAAAACAATGGAAACGAGCAGTAAATCGGATATTCAGATTTCTTTGAAGATTAAATGGGACTGCTAGCAACTTTTTGCGGAAACTGGTTATTTGGCTTTTTCGTTAAGAGTTTCTGGTTCTCTGTGTTGGGCATAGCACTTTCAGAATTTTTTTTCATTTTTCAAATATTTCCTACTTCATTTTCAGTAAGTAGATCAAAAGCTCTCTCATCTTTAAACCTGGGCATTTTGACATGTGTCAGTAGTTGATTGTTGTGCCGAAAACAGGTTTCTTGGTGAATGTTTATTCGACCGACTTTCGACGTGCTCTTTTTTTTCAAGAGGTCTCAAAGGCAGTGTCTCGGCAGAATTTCGTTATCCCGATTTTCACCTTTTCGTCACCTTCGCGCTATAAATAACCCATATTTTGGCTTTTCAGCTCATGAAAATGGCAAAAATGAGCTTTTTTCGAAGCTTTCTAGGTTCGCATTCAGTGGAGGAGCGGGCGGGGGCTTTTCCGGTCTATCTTAACTAATGTGGACCTGGAAAGCTTCCGAAAAAGCTAAATTTTGCCGTTTTTCATGCGCTAAAAAGCCCAAATATGGATTCCTCATGGCGAGAAGGCTCCGAAAAGGTGAAAAACTGGAAAACGAAATTCTGCCGAGACGCTGCCTCTAAGAGCACGTCACGTGACGGGGGAACGGAACTTACCTACCCGAGATATTTTCGCACCTTATGGGTGTGTGTCTGCGGGGTATAATTAGGCGTAGCGAGCTCGCTGATTGCAGATGCTGCTTAGGATACAGCGCTAAGCTAAGCCTCGCCCACACATTGCACTTCTTGGCATATTTAAAAAGGGCGCCTCAGAAAAGCTCTAAATCTGTATTTCAGTCGAAATCGAGCAGATAGTTGCTGAACATTTCTATTGAATTCCCGGTTTCATGATTGATGCATCGCGAAAGAATTGGGGGATGGGGGCGGATCTTAGAATACACACAGATTAGGCCCTGTACACTATGCTTAATGCGTATCTGACTGCTCATGATACCTAAGGTACGCTGCGACAAGTCTTTCGGGTAGGTAAGTTAAGTTCCCGCATCCCACGTGACGTGACGTCCGCTATTGTCCCATTGTGCGGACTTACTGGTATGCGGTGGGGTGACCTTTTGGAAAAGACGAGCACGTCGAAACGTCGGTCGAATAAACATCCACCAAGAAACCTGGTTTCGGTACAACAATACAACAACCAACTACTGACACTTCATTTTCAGCTCTTCTGATTTACAATTTTAGTTGAATTTTTGGTTTAATCCTAGTTTCATTTACAGTGTTTGATGAACTTCCAGATTTACATTTGAGTCACTGAAAATCTACTAAAAATCATTGCGTATGAAAAAACGTCTCTATTACAGAAAGAGTTATTAGGACGTCAGGCAGGAGGCAGCAAAGGCTGGCCGCATCTGCTTCTGGAAGCGCCTATGGAGCTCCAGACTTTCTCGCGCCTCTAATCATTCTTCGCACCTCTATAGAATATCGTGTTCAGAGCAGTTTCCTTCAGACTTCAGAATTCGCAGTAGAAAGGAATACTGCGCAAAACAAAGAACGTAGCTATCAGTCTCTGAAGTCGTTGTTTTCAATCGGAATTATTGAGAGAAAAAGATTTACAAGAATATGTCCAACATTACGGCTTGCAGACTTGATAGACCAATTCATACTTTATCTACTCAAGATTTTGACATTTATACCGCCTTCGATATTGAATTTGGCTGATTCTATAAACTTTTTTGAAACTTACTATTTCATTCGCATTGAATTCGACATCGACAATCGACACATAGAACCTATATCTCGCAAGGGGGGCAAGCGTTATGGAGCAAAGGTACGCCGCGTTCCCCTGCGGTATATCCTGAGGGCCATTTGCGTTGCGTCGCTTTTAATTGCGCAGGAGTAGCGCTGCTCCTGCTAGCGGATTGAGCCATCCCCTATTACCACGACCTGATATGTTGAAACTGTGTAGATGCAATAAGGAAAACGAAGACGGCTATTCAGAAAATTAAAAAAATAAATTTCTAGGGATGAATCAAGGGCTGAATCTGAAGTGATGCAATGCTTGATTTGTTTTAAAAATGTTCAAGAGAAGTAGAACAAAGAATTAGTAGAGAAAAAGGATAGAAATTTTCCGTCATGAGTTTGCAAAAAAACTAACTTACTCGTCTTTTACTTTCTCTTGGCTTGCTTTGCAGACTTTTCCTCCTCATATTCTATATTTGCCCTTGAAATGCGTTTATCACTTTCATATTTTGATCTCTTTATCTATGAAGAGTGAGGAAAATGGCTCAATTCGCTCGGTAGCGCTAGCTCCTGTTCGACTGCAATTAGGAGCGACGCAACGCAAAGGGCCCTCAGGGTATACTACAGGCAAATGCGCGTAGCTTTGCTCCATAACGCGGCGCCGCCATCTCGCAATCTATCACGCCGGAAAAGTTTACGAATAACTGGGCATAGGCCAAAAACAAATAGATAGTTAGAGGTGCGAAGAAGTAGGTAATTAGAAGCGCGAGGAACTCTGAAGCCCCTCAGGTACTTCCATAAGCAGAAGCGGCAGCCCTCTGCTGCATCCTGCCCGACCGCCGAGTTATTATAAGAAAAATAGACAAAATTGAGAGGGGGTAAATATAATTAACTATTGAAAATTACCTGTTTTTGTAGCCATGGTTAGTTGGTTAGTGTGACCTGCAATTTCGCGAGTGTCAACAAGCACATAGGTTATGTGCAATTATAGCTAATCAAAACTCCTAGCAAAAAGAAGATAAAAAAGAGACGATCACTTAGGATATATGGAAATGTAGACGACATCTCTTCCGAAACTTAAAATGCAAAGGTATTTGTGGTTTCCAAAAACTGACTGAAAAACTTTTGTGTAGATTACTCTGACTCTAACCCAAAATTTTTTCTGCTAATTCTTGGCTACAAAAAGAAATGCTTCAATGTTAAACACAAAACACGATAGATGTTTAAGAATAAGAGCATGGAGTAGGGGGTGACCTCACTATCACTAGGAGTTGGCTGGAACGGGGTCGAACGCTACGAGGAGTCCAAAGTTCACAGTTCTCGGCGGATAGGACAAAGTTACCGCGGCCCCAACACGTGTGAAAGTATCAATGAGATTCTTGCGTCATTGTTGTCTACACTGCGAAATAAATACTATAATTGTGAAAGGTTCAGAGGAAAATACAAGTTGGATATGCTACTATGGAGTTCTGCGGAAGAACAAATTAAATTAGATGAGCGAGCCACCTTTTTCACCATATTAGTATTGCTTTGATCATCTGGAGCATCTATGGGTCAGAAAAATCTCGTAATGAATAAAACATTTTTTGATAACTCCTACTTGCCCCCTATCGCGTCTACCGTGATCCTAAGACCTTTATATTCTACGTCTCAAAAAATGAACTACCTTTGCAAACCTTCCATCCAAATTCTTGCCGCGCAACAAAGTGAGTAAGAAAAGTTTCATTGATAAAACGGTTACTCAAAAACAACAAGACAAATATGAAATCACAACAAAAAAATACGATACCAGCAGGAAAAACACTCGGCTTTCAAACGTACAAAATGAAACAAAAGACAACTCGAATGGCGCAAAATGTGAGCCTTTAACTAAATTTTGCCTGTGAGAAGTCCATTTCTGGATGTTGTTCCATGAATCTGCAATTGTAGAATTCAAAAGATAATCAAAATCCAACAACGTACTTCTTCAGAATATCTTGTTTCTTCTTCTCTTCGCTAGTTGGTAAACCAAGTTCTTTTTGGCGCTGGTCATACATCATCTTCTCGACCTGAGCAAAAGCATCTAACGAAAGATGATAAAAGAAAAGCCAGTCAACGCACCATACTCCTCGTTTCGCCATCAAGATCGGATAATTTCGAGTTCTCTGGCTGCACTTTCTTGGTGTTGATTTCTGGTTCACCCTTGACCACATACTTCCACCATTCCATTCCGTTCATCTACAAATAATTTCATCAGAAGCCCACAGTATAGACCAAACGGATATCATACATAAGTACAGGGCTCCTAAAATGCAGAGTCGTTTGCACCAGCGGTCGCGCGACCGCGCTGCGCCCCGGCATTTTGCCGGCGCCAGCGCCATCAATCGCGGTGCCATTGATGCCCGGGCGCGACGCGGTCGCGCGACCGCTGGTGCAAACGACTCTGTAGTTTAGGAGCCCCGTATATGAAAAATGATCCTGAGGCAGAGAATCAGAACATCTGACCCTGGTTAGGATTTACCTTTTCGAATGAGACAACCACAACCTTCCTATCCTCAAGTACCCAAGCTGAGGACTCAGTTTTGATCTGAAAAACTTATCTCAAGAACACCGTGGTGGATCTCATATTCTCTTCATATAAAAATTTCTAGTAGGAAATGATGATGTAAGGGAAAAAAACTTTTAACAACCGACTGGTAAACTGACCTCGTGAAACAGAGGCCCATCAATGACGGGAGGATGGCCTTTCAAACCTACACGTAAATGTGTCTTCTCCACACTGACTTCGACATCTCTTGATCTTAGTGGAAAACCAACTGTAAACGGAATTCGCACCTGATGTTATACCAATTCATTTTGTGAACTCGGAATGGAAGCTAAGTCAAATAACTACACCTCGACTTCCTGCAGCGTTTGTGTCCATTGATAGTGTTCCAAATCAGCACCATTACCACTGTTAGGACGAAGTTTACCCTCGTCTTCTTCATCCTCGTCCTCTGCTAGCTTTTTATCTTCGGATTTCTTTGTCTCTGAACTTTCCGTTTCAGCTGCAGCGTGCTGACCATTTCTAAGAATAGGCAAAGAAGCTTGAAGTAGCAAACAAGTTTGACAATATGTAACTTGATCAGAAAATTCTTTTTCAACAATCACCGACGAAAGAAAGAAAAGCATAGCCACTCACTGCTGTTTCTCGAATTCAGCGGCTTCTGCGTCGGAGATTTCTTCAATCTTGCTGGTGCTGGTGGCCTGTGCCTATAAATGATAGGAATCAATTATAACGCAAACTTCCTGATATGAAGATGAAGATTTCAAGTGATAATTCGTTACAACTTCTCTTTTTGATTTTAAATCTAACAGCTTTGCAAAATCTTCTAAGGTCCGTATGCAGGTACATCCTTGATGGAGAGGGGACGAAATCCGAAGACGCGTCATAAGTCGCTCTCCAAATATCTTTTCTTCTTTGTCTGTCTATCTCAGAAGGCCCTCATACCCTCATATTTGAGCATCATAACTTATAATAACGGGCTAAGGGTGTTTACGTGACTATGTGTGTGTGTCTGTCTGTCTGTAACGAAATTCATACAGCGGGTTTCAGCCAACATCCCGAGCCCAAATTTTGCGTAGCGCATGCTACCAACGTAGAACTCCACCCTGAAAAAGCACGAACGGATTCGTTGGGTGGGTCCCTCAGAATTTGCACGTCAAATGAATCCACTTGGCTTCTGGCCCGCAAAACTGGGTCCATATCAACGCTTTTTGCAAAACCGTGGATGTATTTAGCAGGTTGATCTGTAAGCCATGGACTTTAGACCGAAAAGTGAACAAAGGTTTGCTACTTTACGTAAACGACGCCAAAAAGAAATGGTCGCGTAAGTGGTCAATCCGCCGTGGTTTTACCTGAGCAATTGAGAAGATTTTTGCATAGAGATGTAGCTCACGATAACTATTGTCCTCATGGCGATTGCCAAGCCAAAATTTTTTCAAAACCTATTCAAATTTGCATTTGTTCTTCTGCGTAAAGCTACATCCACCTGAAATCACCGATCTTACATGAAAAAGTTTTTAGAATGAATAGTTGTATACTTTTTATTTAGTCGGCATTGCGCGGTGAGTTTCAAAGCCATTATTAGGCAAGAATAAGTAAGGCATATAGAATAGGACCAGTGCGAGCCTCTGCCACTGGTTTTATATAAGTGACTCCATGCTACAAGCTTTTGTAAGTATAATATAAATTGTAAAAACTCAGCCCGAGCTCTAGTAATGACTAATAGGATACTGCCATACAAGCTAAGAATTACATACACTGTTTTGTGTGATCCCCTCGCGATCCAGAGGATCACACAAAACTTGTACGGTAATGTCTTGTCATTCATTATGCTCAATGTATGAGGGCCTTCGTAAGACAGACAGACAAAGATGAATAAGGATATCTAGGGCGGTGAGATATGACGCGTCCCTCTCATATCCCCTCCCCTTCCCAGCGGGGATGTATAGTTGATTCGTTGCTTGCCCCAATGCAAATTCGCCAGTGTACAAGCCGTGCTCCCGCAACCTTTCAACCGCGGCGTTTGAACAGTCCACGCGGTCAACGAGTCGACGGGGGTGCTCGTTACGTGGGGTAGAGGTACGAACACCTCAATCGGGGGCCGCTTCTGCGGACTGCTGGTCCTTTCGTCCTACTGTAATACATCGCGTTGGGACAAGTAGTCCGCGGAGGCGGTACCTAATTGAGGTGTTCGCTCCTTCACCCGTTACGTGTGGCATATGAAAATCGTCGCAACGTCACATTACAGTTGACGCGAGGAGCAGTGGGCAGAAAACTTGTTCATATTTATCGCCTAAATTATCAGTGTTTTTTCTACTTTGTTGGTCTTCTTCAGTCTTTCTTTTTTGCCCTCTAAAGGGCTGATTTTACAAGCTTTGCGGCAGAACTTTGAATAAGTAGTTGAACTAATATGGGAATAGTCTGAAAACCTCTACAAAGGATAAAACTGTGTGCTGCTAATCAATCTGGCAGGGCTCTCCGGTGCAGTTACTGGCAGCCTATGGCGCGCGACGTTTTCTAATTGCACCCACACGTAACGATACACACACCGAATCGATGATATAGTAAGTTCCATCCAGAGGCGGAAAGTGGACTGGCGGGAGTTCGCTTCGCAACGATTCGCGCCGCTTTGCAGTCTGCGTCTCTTCTCTCTTATTTATCTCGCTGAGCCAGTGGTGGTGCAGACGCGCTGCTCTACTTGGAATGTTCCGCCTACTCCTGGTTGAAAAAGACTGTACATGCTACGAACCTAAGCATGATGAGGTAAATCATAACCATGGTCAAGCGTGGGGTGTGCCATGCCACACCTGGGGGGGGGGGGGGAGGGATCGTATTGGAGGGTCAGGGAAGAGTCGTTATCGAGGTGATTCTGATGTTAGCAATAACATGATATTCCTTAACAATGTCTTAACAATGTTTAGGCTCCTCATACTAGCACAATGATGTTCTGGCTTACTATCGTCTACTTACAGTAAGCATATTAAAAGAGCACTAGAATCTTAAAAGCATCATTTTCGTAATTAGCACGTCGAACAACACTAATTCCTACTACTTCCTTGCTAACATTAGGAATCCCACTTGAAATAACCTCCAAACTGAGAAGTTTAGGGTGCCTTCATACCGCGCCGGCAGCCGCCGCTAGCGGCTCGTAGCAGCCCATAGCAGCCGCCAGCAGCCCGTAGCCGCCGCTGGCCGCTTTTGTTCATAGGAGGAGTAAAAAATCATCAGATTCTTACTAGTTTAAACACATCCGCCTAAGCTTCTCATCTCCCACCCTTTTTCCTTCCTGTTGCCGCCAGTATGCAATTCCATCTCATATATCATACTTGTGCGCCAGTGGCGTACGGAGGGGGTGGAGAGGAGGGGCGGAGGCGGGAGCGTACCCCCCCCCCTCCGAGAACGGGTCGCAAAGTTTTTGAATGTTACTTACATGGGTTATAAAATTGTGCAAATGACTTGGCTGCATTTGTAAATGATCAAAATAATTTTTAAAATTAAAAAAAAATCATTTAAGCCTTACAAAAAAATTTTTTTCGTCTGAGCCCACGAAAATTTTAGCGAGCATACCAAAAAAATTTTTCGTCTGAGTTCACGAAAATTTTAGCGAGCATACCAAAAAATTTTTCGGAGTGCGTGGCTGACGCCACGCACCTTCATCGAAAATTTTTTTGTCGCTCCCCTCCCCCCCCCCCCCGAGCCGAAATCCTGGGTACGCCACTGTTGTGTCCTAAAGTAAGTGTGCTATTTGTTCATCTTTTAAGTATGGTTCTGCTTTAATCTTTTCCTTGGCTATCGGTTTATCTAGAATATCTCTGTAATGTCTAAGAGTTGAACTGCACATTAGCAGCAATAGGAAGAAAAAAGCGTGAAAGATGGAAAGAGTAGGCGTGTGCGCCAAAGTAGTAAGAATCTGATGACATAACGCTACCACAAAAGCGGCAGGGGCGGCTACGGGCTGCTGGCCACTGCTATGGGCTGTTGGCGGCTGCTACGGGTTGCTACAGGCTGCTGGCTGTGCGGTATGAAGGCACCCTAAGAGCAAGCCAAAATCTCGTTTGTTCCATTTTTCGCTTTCAATATTCCAGACAAGCAAAAACTAATCAGGCTCAAATCACTTTTGTGTAAATTAAGAGACTTCTGCTATCGAATATATTTCTTCTTGTCGCCTCCCCTCGCGCTTCACATAGTAGCGCAGACTTAACATGTTACCGCTCAATACTTTCGCAGTATTTTCCATTTGCATAGGTAAGGAAAAACGACTATATCTCCTCAAGAAACGATTCCAAATGAAATTCTATTGTGTAAAGAAGAAGGTTGAGCAGTAGCAACGATATAAGGAACGCACTTATTTGAATGATTTAAAGGTAAGTTAATGGGCTGCGGCATAACGCCTAAAAAGGTGTGGCAGCCACAGCTTTTCTGGGGTTGTGCACACCCCATTAACTTACCTCCAAAGAGAGTTTTAGAAACAAACTAGTTGACTTGGCTCCGCCCGGCCCTGTCATTATTATAGTCGTAATCAGCTTGCTCGATTATCCCCCCGTGCCAACTCCCAGTCTCGTAGCTCAAATTGTGCAAAAAATCGATAAAATCGATATCGATCGGTGACGAAAAGTGGCCTATGACACCCGCCGGGGCCCGATGTGTATGTGTGCCAAGTTTGGTCCGGATCGGTTCGGAAATGGAATTTTCTATTCGGAACATACGTACAGACAGACATACAGACAGACAGACAGACAGACAGACAAACAGACATTCAGCTTTATATATAAGATCAAATAGTTCGATAGATAATACCCCGCAGATTCTGTGAAAGTGATTAGAGCTGGTTTCGACTTCTTTCATTTGAGCTACAGTTGCTGAAAGCACAAGCACAGTAAGCAAAAATGGGACCAACGAGCATCTGGCAGGCTCCCAAGTCCATAGTCTGATGGCTATTTGGAGCAGGATTCATGGCATAGGTAAACGGGGAGTACTGCTTTGTAATGAGTACAAAAAGAAGTAGCTACTTCACTTCTGAAATATAGTTAATTAACTTTGAAAATGACCATTTCATTTGGATAGTTTAATACTGGGAACACTCGCAATTCGCTAAAACTTCGCCCACAGGGGTTAGCATCTTGTAACCAATGTGCTATATGGAGCTCAATGTCTTGCCTAAGGCAGGCAAACGGTAATGCGGGGGGGGGGGGGATAACATGAGGGAAGAACTCTCTCTCGTACCTGGCGGTTACGTGCCACACCTCCTCTCGGCCCTGGTACAAGTACAGTCAGTTCCCGAGAAAGACGAAGAACGAATTTCATATTGGAATTTTGTAGTCATTCTCATTGATGAAACGGCGCATTTCTTGTGATGAAACAGAGACCAGACACATTGGTAAATGAAAAGGCCAGATATTCATAAATATACAAAAAAAACTAAGGAAAAAAGAAAACTTGTTTTTCTTTCCAAGTGTTTCAAAGCTAGTGCATTGATTACATCACTGCGAAGATGAAACGAAAATTACATCAGTATGATGTATGATCAGGAAACATACCCTGAACTCCTCCTCCTCCTTTACCTTCTGTGCAGCTCGTTTTTCAGCGAGTTTGCGTTCTTGTTCTTCCTTTTTCCTTTTCAATTCGGCAGCTTTCTGAACAAAAAAGATACAACTTTTGAAACAGATGTTCCCCTAAATGTACCTCTATCGCTTCGTTTCCATGCTTTTCAAAGTATTTCAAGAGCAAGCTTCGTGCTTCATCCACGCCAGCACCAGTATAGAAATCGGTCTTCCTAGATATTAACATTTTTTCATGGCAAAAAGGACTGAGATTGAAGACCAAACCTGGCAAGAAAACCGAACAGAATGTCAAGCAGATCCGGTACACCGCCGGGCATCTGCTGTGCCATCGAGAACAGTATAGGATCGAACTTTTCTTCGGTCATTTTTTCCTGAAGGTGATCAATGACAAAATTGTTACTGCTCAAAAAGTTGCGCACGTGGTGAAAGCAACGCGAAAAGATTGAACATAAAGCGTCGAACACTTTATGTAGATAAATGATAACTGCGTATATTGCGAAAAAGCAATGTACACTGAAATTCACAAAGCGCTCCGTAGTGCGGCACATCGGAAGTGGAGACTCACAGGAATTGCAGGAATTACAGGAATCGGAGGAATCACCTCCTGGAATAGTATATCCGGTCCCTTAGGCACCCACCATACTTGATTCTCTTGATCCTCTTAGTACACTTGATCCGCTTGATCCACTTCGTGCAGAACGCTCGTCACTAAATTGTCAACTGGCACCGCTTACAGCGAATTTGCGTAACCATACAAAATTCATTTTACCTAGAGGCGCCAGAGACAAACTCGTGTGTGCGCGTTTTGCACGAAGCGGATCAAGTGGATGAGGACCAAGTATGACAGTTACTTTAGCGCAGCTTGACGCAAAGTTATGAAAAGGCGTCGTATTGAATACAACTGTGCGATTACACAACCCTAGTGCGATAGACGGCAATCAGAAATGATGGCAGTGCTCTATGGAATTTTCCTTACTGTCGTCTAGAACACTATGATGGCCGGAAAAATCTCTAAATTTCGTGCTCATCTCGTAGCAGTTGGCATGGCTATTGGCATCACAACGATTGCTTATGGCACTTTTCAAGCTGCTATGGTGATTAAGGTACATTTTACTTGGATTATTCTTTGCCACTTGTTTGCAAAACTCGTTCGACTTCTGGTCATAAATCCCACTTGACCTAGAAACCAATGCATTTTAGACACCATGACTGCTTTTGGATTGCCTTTCGTTTATCGATAGATCAATTTCACACTCTAGTATGGACGACCAATACAGACCGCCACCCCCCCCCCCCCACCCCATACTGTGGCGCCGTGCCACTTCAGCACGAGAGAGTTTTTGTGAGGCACAAAACTTGGGCGCGGCGAGAGGCCGCCCCGCGCTGACTCCTGACCCGGAGTCAATAATTTCGCCCTGGAAGGAGTCGTGAGCGCGCTCTATCGTCGATCGATTAGAGCACTTTTTTAGCTGGAGCAGCTGGGCTAGAAGCGGCCAAGCTGTGAGTGATAATCATAGTCGAGCAAGAGGTGTGGCACAAAAGCGCTGGATACAACCCCCCCCCCCCCCCGCCCATCTTCGTCTCTTCGTCTCAGTACCCCCCCCCCCACCCCCACCAGCACTCGTTTGCCTTCCGTAATCATGACATGCTCAACCATGCATAATTAGGCACATATTCGTAATTATCATGTCAGGTAACCCGCATGGGCCAAGTTTTAGCAAATTCTGAGGGTTCCTAGTATTGGACGCTTAAGTGAAGTGATCATTTTCAAAAATGATTAACTGTATTTCAGAAGTGAAATAGTTAACTCTTTTTGTACTCAGTCAGTACAGAGCACTGCTCTCTATTCTCCGTGTGCTTTTTTTCTTCTAGGGGCAGAGGTATTTTTTGCAAATTAGAAGGGACCAATGTATTCTCCGAAAGTTTATGTATAGTCAAACATTGACACCTAGAAAGTTTTACGGCAAATTACTTGCTGAGTCCATGAGCCGTTTTCTTTCCTCGAAACCAAGCTCTTTGTGATTTTTTGCTTTTAGCAACAGAAGTGCGATTTTTGTGAAGTGAAAGGGCCGAATGTCCTAGCGAATATGCCTGTCGCAAGAAGCTCTTGGGTCTATCCTTCCCTTGAGAAGAAATTTCCTGCGCTTTTTTGCTTTCAGGGGCAGAAATGTGGTTTTTGCGAAGTAGAAGGACAAAAGTGAGTTTCAAGCAAATCCCCGTATAACTAACATGTTGACGACTTTGTGCATACGCACGTATGCACGCCCTGACTTCCGTTTAGCATTTCCATGCATCCACGCATATGCACGCTAGTTTTTGGGGTGTAAACGAAAAGTTTTAAGGTAACTTTCATGCAGTAAAGCTAATGGTGGCCTGATTGTCTTACAGAACACAGGGCATCGCGAAAGCTGCTCAGAAGTCTTGGCCGCAAAATTGGGTAGTATGTCCGTTCTTGATGTGGTAAATACATGCCAATTACGTTGTGTGGTAAATGCATGTCAATTACGTTTTTCCGAGAAGGTAGAAACTTGTGTAGCTGTTTTGAAAGCAAACAAGATGAATCAGGCAAAAGAACCTGTTATTACAATCAGATATAGCCATTGCATAGTTTATTGGAGGGAAAATCGAGGCACCTTGATTTGTGTAAGTCCTAGGAAGACTCTGTGATATACGTGTTTCTCTGAGCAATTGCATGTTTTATGAATAAGCGTCAAAAAGACTCACCATAATGTTTTCGTGCATACGCGCATATGCACGGACTAAATGCGCGGAGGACTTAGTGGGAGTTTCGTCCAAATTGGCGCGGTCATCAGCGGTTGAACATTGACAAGTAGAAATTCTTAGCAAAAATATCGTGCAGCCTGGGCCCATGATCCTTTCTTCCCTCAAGGCATGCTCCCCGTGCTTCTTTGCTTTTAGGGGCAAAAGTGTGGTTTTCGTGAAGTTTAAAGGCAGTGGGTCGGCAAAATCGCATATCTCGATACTTTTATATGGAAGGTTGCTTGCACCCCAAACACGAGACTGGAGCAGGTCCGAGCGCACAGCATGCAGTCCCTGCCTAGAAAATTGCCTCTAAACTCGTGCGCGAAAGCCATTCTTACACGCGCTCGGACGAGATCGCAATATCCCTCACGCCGTCAGAGGCGGCATGCTGCAATGCTATAAACATGGGGTCCTACGACTCTGCGTCTCTAATCATGGCGGGAGCGTTCCACACGTCCAAATTCAAAATGATGGAGCCTGAGAAATGCTGGTTTTCGCCATTTTCGCGATGTAAAAAGTGGATTTCCGGAATCAGCGCGTCGAATTACCACATGTAAGCGAAAAAATCAAAGATCGAGGATTTGCCGAGCCACTGCCTTTAATGGGTCAAAAGGTTCAGTGAAAATGCGCTGTCGCATGAAGCTCGTGGGTGTGTCCTTCCCTCAAGATCCTGTGCTTTTTGCTTTTAGGGGAGAATTGTAGTTTTTGCGAAGCAGAAGGACGAAAAGTTTTGGCGAACATTTCCTGTCGCATGAAGCTCATGGCACAGTCCTTCCCTAGACCAAGCTCCTTCTGCTTTTTTGTTTTTAGGGCAGAAGGTGCTTTTTGCGAAGTTTAAGGGGCCAAAAGTTGGTTTCAAGCAAGTTTTTGCACGATTTAGAATTGACACTTAGAAATTCTTAGCAAAAATGTCTTCCGTTCCAAGCCTTTCCGTCTTTTCTTCCAGCGGGACATATAGGCTACTGCATGACGAAGGCGCAATATCGTTGGGCGCAAACGCGGCTTTATTAGCCGCAGAGCGCATGAGGCGCATGATTTACAAGGTGAGGAAACGCGCGCGCCGCTTTCGCGCCCGCTCAACTAACACTGCTTCTGTGCCTTCGTCATGCAGTAGCCTTTACCTCCTTGCTCTTTTGCTCCTAGGGACAAAAGTAGGATTGTCATGAGGTGGGCGGCCAAAAGTGAACTTCCAGCAGCTTTTTGTGAATTTCACCCTTGTTTCTTCCAGCGGACTTGGCTCCCACTGCCTTTCTGTTTTTTTTTTTCACAATGCAGAAGTAAGATAATTCCAAGCAAATTTCCGTTAACTGATTATTATAATATCCTATCATTAGTTCAGCTACCCTTCTTAATGGTGTATGAAATCATATTCTTCGCGAAAAATTTTTTCCCTTGCAAAAATCAGGCAGGAGACGGTCACTAGTCAAGGAACGCTGTAGTAATTCGGAAGATCTGTCGCAAAATAAGGCGACAGATCTTCCAATTATGACAACTGGAGGCCAGAGATCTGCGTTATTTTTTTAGTCTGGATTTATACAGGATGTCCCAAATAGATGTGCACACTGTTTGATCGGCAATAACTCTCTTGCTTGAATGTCTTTCGCCGAGCTTGAAATTCCGTAGGGAGAGTATCAACTTATATTCACAGAATAGAAGACTCTCCGGTCTTTCTTCGTTACTGTAGGATTACGGTGGGAATTTCGAGAAGATGCAGACCATTGAAAGCGATATTTTACCTTAGAAAGGAAATTACAGCCCAGAAACTCTTGTACTGGGGTGGTCGAAGTCGCTGATTCTAAATATGAATTTTGCACTTCACTGTAATGCTTCTTTCATGAGTTATCTCAGGTTTAAGGTAACAAGTCCACTCTTCGTGCAGACTGTAATTACACCACTTTAAAAGCATGAGAAAAAACTGGTAAATATGTGTTGTGAATGAGCACGCCTGAAAACTTTGCTACACAAATTTATTTATTTTTTTATTTTTTAATTTCCAGATTTTTCGGAATTTTTTTCACCAAAAGGCCTATTCCACACTGGTACTGTATGCTGAAAGTTCATCCGTAATCCTACAGTAATGAAGAACGATTGGTGATTCGCTCCATACTATGAATCTTTATTGAACTCGCCCCAGGGAATGGTATTCAAGCTCGGCGAAAGACATCCAAGCAAGAGTATTAACGATCAAATAGTGTGCATATCTTTTTGGAACACCCTGTATTTTGCAACAGCTCTAGTTTGCGCTTTGTGTTTGTTTTCCCAGATTCCTTTGCATGCCTTTTGCAAATGAGGAGGTGATCTTCAATCAGGTACATTGCCGACATCGACCGCATCGACAATACACATTTGCGCTTTCGGCGCTATTCCAGTATCCGGGCCCCAAAATTTTTTTTGTCATGGATTTTGCTGAAACTTGGCCCAGGGGACTTATTCGGCCCGCTGATGCCGAATACCATGTTGGTTTTGGACGGTAGCGTCGTGATCTAGGGTTACGGTGGGTACACGGTAGGGGGTCAAAATTACGGAATTCGCTGAAACTTCGCACAGAGGGGTTATTCGACATGCTGATTAGACATGTCACACTTTCTCCGCCTGAAAACTTCTCCCTGCATGGCTAGGTAGGTTTACGGTAGAGGTCAAAATCACAAAAATGTATCTTCTCCCTGTGTTTTGCTTAGGCAAAAGCCGCAGCAGGGTGTGTAGCGCGCGGCGGTGGTCGCGTGTGCAAAGTTTCACGACGTCCTAATCGCCGTACATACGTTTCAGGCAGAACTATGTTTTTCACCCGTTACCGTGTACCTACTGTAACCCGAGAAAATGACGCTACTGTTACAAAACCAATATGATATTCGGCATCAGCGTGTCGAATAACTCCTCTGTGCGAAGTCACAGCGAATTTTGAGATTTTGACCCACTACCGTATACTCACCGTAGCCCGAGAAAATGACGCTACGGTACAGATTTAATGTGATATTTGGCATCAGCGGGCCGAATAAGTCCTGTGGGCCAAGTTTCAGCAAAATCCGTGACAAAAAATTTTCGGGGCCCGGATACTGGAATAGCGCCGCGCTTTCGATGCAGAGCACGCTCAAGACCATTTGCACCTGGAGGCAGTAGCTCGGCAAAAACATTTTGGGATTTTGATGGGTAGGTTGCTTACACCCCAAAATATAAGAATAGAGCAAAGCCAAGCTCACAGCATGCTGCCCCTGCCAAGAACTGGTCCCGAAACTCGTGCGCGCAGGTCATTTTTACATGCGCTGGGACGAGCTCGCGATTTTCTTCCCACTGTAGGGGGAGCGTTGCTATAATACAAGGGTCTCACAACTAATCAGCGTCT